AGCAGGGAGCCCGATGTGGGACTCGATCCCAGGACCCTGGGATCATGACCTGAGCCGAAGGCAGACGCTTAACGACTGAGCCACCCAGGCGCCTCAGGTTCTTTAGTATTTTGAATAATAAAGTAGTTCTATCACCCTGACACACTCAAGAATATTTGGAATAGAAATTAAAAGTTGATACAAGGAAAAAAAAAGTTGACATAAGGAGTAAATCCTTCAGCGGTGATTTTTAATCCATTTCCTTAACAAGTTTTCTTACCAATGTGTCCTTAATTACCATTGACCCTGTTATCAGATGGTACTTTCTACATCAAAATACTTCTAATAATACACTTTAGAACTGACATTCACTACATAGCCACAACATATATAATTTGAAGAATACAGAAATATTTTTATTTTTTCATTTAATGATGCAAAACACAAATGCTGATTTGACATACATTCACATATAACTTTTTCTCTCACGTTTACAACTCAACAGATTGGTGAATCCAAAGGAACTAGTATAATCACTATATGGAGCATACCTATAATGAAGAAAAAAAAATAAAACTATAGCATTAACTAGCAGAAATAATATTAAAATTAGACCATTTTGAATAATTTCTGGGCATCTGGGAAAGTTAGAAAAGAAATCCATAAAGAGTATCAACCCTTCGTTTTATTTAAGTTTTAGCAAAAAATATTTTATGTGACCTATAAGAGAGTAGCAAAAGCATATCTTATTTCATGTTTATCTCTCGATTAGCTAATTAAGTGCCTGGGCAATTTGCTGAAAACATTATGACTAATAAAATAGGGTTCTGTTCTCATGGAATTTACACTCAGGTGTCGTATATAACAGATATTAAGAAATACACAAACCTGTCTTCAGTGTTATGAAGTCACCGTGTAGAGTACCATCAGATTTACAAAAATGATATGATTTTGGTTTCATTCTTTTTTGTTTTTTTTTAAGATTTTATTTATTTGTCAGAGAGAAAAAGAGAGAGGGTGAGAGTACGTGCGCATGCACACACACAAGCAGGCTCCCCACTGCGCAAGGAACCCGACGTGGGACTCGATCCCAGGACCCTGGGATCATGACCTGAGCCGAAGGCAGACGCTTAACTGACTGAGCCACCCAGGCATCCCGATTTTGGTTTCATTCTTAAACACAACTTTCTTTGAACAGTCAAAGCATAATGATTACAAATGATGCTAAAAAATGATTATGCTGAGAGATGCTTCAGCTAAGGTATTAAAATTCATAAATTTGTCACAGGCAGGAATATCAGTGCTAAAAAGTACAAACTCAATAGGGGAGCCTGGCTGGCTTAGCTGGAGGAGCATGCAACTTGATCTCAGGGTTGTGAGTTCAAGCCTGATGTTGGGTGTAGAGATTACTAAAAAAAAAATAAACTTAAAAAAAGTATAAACCCAATAAAAAAAAACAACCAAAATACATTATTTAGAAAGAGGTCAAATTAACTTGCATAATTAATTAATCCTATAAAACTGCATACTTACCATATTAGTATTTCAATAGTTTATTCCAACCCATTTCTTCTTTTATACTCTAAAACATCTTCATTATGTTGTTTGATGAGCTAGAAGTGGGTAACAATTAAAATTAGAAATGTAATCTTCCTGGCAACTTAAAAAGGCTAACCAATGATACTTATATTTGGTATATAAGAGGAATAAGAATTGTATGTTGTAAAAGAATTACAACTATTCTAGGGGTGAGGGAGGGCATGGGGGCACTGGGGCCTGGATTTGCTTTTCTTTGTCTTTTTTCTTAAAGATTTTATTTATTTGTCAGAGAGAGAGAGAGCACAAGCAGGGGGAGCGGCAGGCAGAGGGAGAAGCAGCTCCCTGCTGAGCAAGGAGCCCGAAGTGGGACTCAATCCCAGGACCCTGGGATCATGACTTGAGCTGAAGGCAGACGCTTAACTGACTGGGCTACCCAGGTTTCCTTCTTTTCCTTTTTTTTAAAGAAAGGTTTTTTGTTTTTTTTTTTTAAGATTTTATTTATTCATTTGTCAGAGAGAGAGAGCACACAAGCAGGGGGGGCGGCAGGCAGAGGGAGAAGCAGACTCCCCACTGAGCAGGGAGCCCGCTATGGGGCTCAAATCCAGGACCCTGAGATCATGACCTGCGCCCAAGGCAGACGCTTAACGAATGAGCCACCCAGGCGCCCCCTTACGATTTTAAATTCAACTTCTGCCAAATAAATTATTTCATTCAGTGGGTAATTATTATTATATGTGCTGCTGAAGCGAGCACTCATTCAGTGGGTAATTAATGTAATAGAATAACTTACCACAGAGGAGCTAAACCAATACAACCAACCAGAACTGAGTATTAAATGAGGTCCAGGCTGGTTGCTGGGTGTGGCATACTTCTAACCTTAGAAGTTTGATACTATGAGTGACCAATCCCATCCCCCAACTATATGTGTATTAATTAGATGTCACGGGAGATAGACACTTTCTTAGAACCACTGTCTGACAGAATATGCAACCAAAACAATGGTTGATATGGGGTGACATTTGCTGCAATCAAAGATCCAATTTCAGTAAGAGTTCTCAGCAGCAATCAAGCTTTTTTAGGGAAAACTTTAAATTAAAACTTCAGGGCGCCTGGGTGGCTCAGTTGGTTAAGCGACTGCCTTCGGCTCAGGTCATGATCCTGGAGTCCCGGGATCGAGTCCCGCATCGGGCTCCCTGCTCGGCAGGGAGTCTGCTTCTCCCTCTGACCCTCCTCTCTCATGCTCTCTGTCTCTCATTCTCTGTCTCAAATAAATAAAAATAAAAATCTAAAAAAAAAAAAAATAAATAAATAAATAAATTAAAACTTCATTATGACAAATATTATTTTAAAAAGAATTAGTTACTGTTGTTATGTTGTAAATGACTTTCAACATCTCTTACTCCTTATCAACAACTTTTTTTTTTTAAGATTTTATTTTATTTATTTGACAAAGAGCACAAGCAGGGGGAGTGGCAGGCAGAGGGAGAGGGAGAAGCAGGCTCCCCGCTGTGCAGGGAGCCCAGTGCAGGGCTAGATCCCAGGACTCTGGGATCGTGACCCGAGCCAAAGGCAGATGTTTAACGACTAAGCCACCCAGGCGCCCCCATCAACAAGCCATTTTAATGAGAAAATCCAAAATAAGAGATCTAAGAATTGGAGGTGGGAGGCAGTGGAGAAAGCCCCTAACCTATTAGAGACAAAAAAAATTTTTTTAAATACTAATATAGCACACAGACTTTTAGTCAACTTCAAGAAAATTTATCTACAGAGAGGCAGTATTTCATAATGGTCTATACTGTAATTCTGAAGTCAGGGAGAAGTGGGTTTAGCAAACTAATTTCCCCAAGCGTTTTCTTTATAAAAAGTCAACAATAATATTACCTATTATACAGTGCTGTTGAAAAGATTAAATGAGTTTTTACATGTAAAGCATTTGGCATACTGTAAAGACAAAAAAAAAAAGGCTGCCACACACTAAGTACAATTTCCAACAACGTATTTATGCAAACGTTGATTAAAATCTTATGTTTTGGAAGTCTAGTGGGACTTAATTTGTATAGCTTGTCCATTGATGATTTGTACCTATGGCATCTGAAAAAAAAAGTGTCTTCATAAAACCCAACCAGCTCCCATCCTCATTAGCAAGTAAAGAACAATTAATAGTAAAACTGCCATTCATCATAAAACCATGCTCATTAACAATGAATGAGGTAAGTTTCAGCCTCATCATATTTTCTCGATGCTGCGGAAAACTTTAATATTTCTTTTTAGTCTTTGGGATTTCCGTTATACTTTCCAATTACATAAACATCCAACTGGATGGGAGATAAGCTCAGCAACAATCTCACACTGACATTTCTCCTCCCCACTGTGTTGGGGTCACACGACATCAAGGGAGTAAAAAACTCACATAGATCCACAAGAAGGCGGAGGTGCCCAAGGTCAGTCCAACTTTCAGCCAGTCAGGTCTGTCATGTGGCGGCTCCCGAATGTAGAACTTTGATCGCGCTGAAGCTGAAAGGGGACAGTGTAAATCGATAACGTATCGCTTGTACTGAAAAACCTAACATTTACGTGTGTATTATTGCATTTAATTCTCTCTTCAACCCCTCTCTCCCCCGCTTAAACAGCCTCGGAAACAGAGGTTCAGAAAGGTCAAGTTAACTCGCACTGAGCCACCGGCACAGCCAGACCGAGTGGCCCCTGTCCTCCAAGACGCCCTCAAAGCCTCGTAAACCAGCTTTTGCGGAGCCTCAGATGACCCTCGAGTTGGCGGGAAGCGGCACCAAGAGGGTCTGCAGGACCCAACCTGCGGCGGGTTGGTGGGGGGGAACCCAGAGTCCATTCGTAGAGACCAAGAGTTGTCGGCACTAAGAAGAGGGTCGGCGGCGGGTGATGGGGAGCCTAGAGTCAGGGCTGGGATATGGGACGCAGGCCGGCGAAGGTCACTGCAGAACGAGCCCGGGCCCAGACGCCCCCTGCCCCCGCGGGCTGGGTTCACCCTGGGAGTGGCAGACAGTAAGGTCGGGTGGGCCTGAGCGGAGAGGGACACTCACAGCCGCTTGGGAGCCTGGCAGGAGCCAACAGCTTGGAGAAGAGGCGGAACAACGCGGGCAGCGCCATCTTGCCAGGCAGGGCTCCGCCTTTCCGCAACCCCGTGTCCCCTGGAGTCGGCGCTCATCCGAGCGCCCCCTGGCGGAACGAAGTGCGGGATTCGCTAGCTACGCAGCTGCGCTACTAAGTAGGGGTGTTAACTCGAGAATCGTGGTTATTGCCTGGTACTCTAGCTCTCCTGGTCTCATCATCCGTTTGTAAAATGGGGTTTGGGAGGAAATGATTAAAAGGCGTAAGGGGTAGTTTATCCATTTCGCTGTCCCATGAGAATTTCAGGCCCCTGCCCCAGGGATACTCAAGAGATTTACTAAAATCTTTTTTTTTTTTTTTAAGATTTTATTTATTTGACGGAGAGAGACACAGCGAGAGAGGGAACGCAAGCAGGGAGAGTGGGAGGAAAAGCAGGCTTTCCCGCAGAGCAGGGAGCCCAATGCGGGGCTGGATCCCAGGACCCTGGGATCATGACCTGAGCCGCAGGCAGACGCTTAACGACTGAGCCACACCGGCGCCCCTGAGATTTACTAAAATCTTGCTACATGAGCCAGAAAACTGAAAATGGAGTGCTGTGTTGAGTAACAACTAGCGCTTTGAATTCTGTGTTCCAGACACTGTACATTATGCATCCATCATATGGTTTACATACATCGTCTCATTTCATCTTCACAACCACCGCCTGATATACCTTATTATCCTCAGTTTACAGATGAAGCTCAAAGGCAACTTACTCATCCAAGGTGACATACCATATATTGAAGAGACTTCCCACAACTCCCAAAGTCTGTTCACACGCACTATCTTAGTAGAGCTTCACAACGCTGTGAGGAAAAGAGAATCTTCGTGTTTTGGAAGTGCCCTGACCAGCTCAGGCTCAGGATCCCACAGCTGGGGAAGGTGAGATTCAGACTGAGGTCTTCTGACCCCAGATCTAGTGATCCTCATTAGCCCACCTAACAGACTTGGACAGTCCCCTGAGGCCATGAGCTGTAGAACAGGGTTCAAAGAGTCAAGTTTAAAACGCCATTCCTGTAGATCATTTTTTAGCTTTTGATTTTTAGGCAAATTACTTAATCTCTCTACACCTCAGTTTTATAGCTATAACATAAAACCTATCCTATATGGTCCTTGGGAAGCTTACGAAGAGTCTGGTAGTTGCAAACAACTCGTTTTTGCCGGTCTACCAAAGACATTGTACTGACAATAGGTTTTATCTTTCATAATTGAGCCAGATTTTGTGCATTCAATTCTCAATTCAATCTGATGTCTAAAGACCATGTAAACATCTATATAAGTAAAGGAAATAATGAATTTTAATAATTTAATCCTTTAAACTTAATGCCATTTAAGATCATTTTAAAAGCACAATGAATGTTAGCAAATCTTTTCTCCCTCTGTATTTTTTTTCTTAAAAAAAATTTTTTTTAAGCTTTATGCCCAACGTGGGTCTTGAACTCACCACTCCATGATCAAGAGTAGCATGCTCTACTAACTAAGTGTCCACTTTTATATATTTTTTAGCAATATTACTGGGGAAAAAATTTAACCAAAAATTATTGACCAAAGAGTAAAATAATGTACTATACTTTCTGGTTCATTTTTACATGCAACTTATGGCTACCTGGATTGCTAAACTGTGAGTCACATTATAATTTGTAACCTAGTTTGAGCCTCCTAGACTCATGCTCAAGTAAGCAAACCACCCAACTAATATGTTGAGTCAGTTGTTGGTTCTCAACTTCTTGTCCACTCAGCAACCTGACAGTTGAATATTCTTTCTACATCATTCTTTGGAAGCTTGTCCTGACACAGCTTTTGCTAGTATCCAACAAGATGAAACAGAAGCCATATTTAGTCAGAGCATACAGAACCAGTTAGCAAATTACTAATTTCAGTACTGCTGTTGGAAAAAGGTTGGTTTGTTCTTTTGGTCCCTGTATCCTTTTACTAGTGTATATTTTAGGAAAGTGATGAAATATAAGCACATTCCTCTCAGCATGTTAGAGTTGATGGAACCCTACACTTAGAGTAGGCAGCTGTAGGTGAAACTCCACCTTGTTGAAGCAATTCCAGTCAGGAGCTAGTAGCTATGATATTTTGGTAGAAGTTGTGACATGACATTCATTAAACCATTTCCAGAATTTGAATGCTAAAACTTTCTTTATGACCCAGGCAAAAGGAGAGAGGATTTGAGTTAGCAGCTAGAAAACCACAGTTCTAGTCCCAGACTTTTCCACTAGGCAACATCTTACTCAACTCACACTTCTCATTCCTAGGGAGGGTTAAAGAAGAGCAAAAGTTGAAAACAGTATAAAATATAAGATCACTACATAGATGTTTATTGATTTTATTTATTTGAGAGGGAGAGGCAGAGGATGAGCAGGGGGAGAGGCAGATGGAGAAGCAGACTCCCAGCTGAGTGGGGAGCCCAATGTGGGGCTCGATCCCAGGACTTCAAGATCATGACCTGAGCTGAAGGCAGACGCTTCACCAACTGAGCCACCCAGGCGCCCCATATCTGCAAATTTTTAAAAAAGATTTTATTTATTTATTTGAGGGAGAGAGAGAGAGACAGAGAGAATGAGCAGTGGGGAGGGGTAGAGGGAGAGGGAGAAGCAGACTCCCTGCTGAGCAGGGAGCCGATGCAGGCCTCATGTTGGGCTTGATCCCAGGACCCTGAGATCATGACCCAAGCCAAAGGGAGAGGCGACTGACTGAGCCACCCAGGCGCCTCAAGTATATGCAAATTTTTATTTAAAAAACAATCAGAAGCAATCACAAAATGTTAACATTTGTTAAATCTGGGTGACAAATATATAGACTTGTTTTATGTTGTATTTTTTTTTTTAAGATTTTATTTATTTGACACAGAAAGACACAGTGAGAGAGGGAACATGAGCAGGGGGAGTGGGAGAGGGAGAAGCAGGCTTCCCGCGGAGCAGGGAGCCTGATGTGGGGCTCGATCCCAGGACCCTGGGATCACGACCCGTGCGGAAGGCAGATGCTTAACGACTGAGCCACTTGAGGCACCCCTTATGTTGTATTTCTATAAAATTTAAATACTTGATGATTAAGGCATAAAAGTCTTGATAGAGAATATCTTACATATATGGAGATGGAGAATTTTCACTCTACATATCCCTTTTGTAGAGTTAAAGTTTGGAGGTTATTTATTTATATATTTATTTATGGTTAATTTTTCTTGTGAAGAGGCACTTTGGCAATAGTGATATGCAAATACTTAGGGTACGATGAATGAAATAACCATCATCATCATCATCATCATCATCACCACCATCCTCATCATCTGTCATCATCCAGCCTTGGATATGTTAATTTCCTGCATAGCTGTCAATGACAGCACACAGGTTAAATAGGATCTGTTAGTCAAACAGTGGTGATCTGTGAGAGCAGGTATTTTATTATTGAGTTCAGGCTATCAAATCATGGACTGTATGGTCCAACTGTTATCTATTGGTGCATTTTAACTAGGAAATGACTCAGATAAATGTCAATGCAAACTAGTATTCACTGAGTCTTTTTTTTTTTTTAAGATTTTTTATTTATTCATAAGAGACAGAGAGAGAGAGGCAGAGGGAGAAGCAGGCTCCCCGCTGAGCAGGGAGCCCGATGCGGGACTCGATCCCAGGACCCTGGGACCATGACCTGAGCCGAAGGCAGACGCCCAACCATCTGAGCCACCCAGGCGCCCTAGTAATCACGGAGTCTTAAAAATTTGTTATCAGCCAAAAAGAAGGTAACATTTGCCGAACTATATTGTTGTCTCATCTATTCAGGTACTCAGCCTTTGGTGGGGACTACTGTTTGTTTCAAACATCAGAAATTTTCTTCCCTCAAGAGGAAAATAGTATATTATTCAAAGGAGAAATTTAGAAAACCTTAGCAAATAATACTAGTGTAGGAACTTCTGGATATGAAGCCAGAGATTTGGCAACCAAAGTTGGTAGTGAAGCTAAAATTATCACTGTAAGTTAGATAATTTTTCTACTTCTTAATAGCTGAGATGGTTGAAAGAAAGACCTCTTGGGGGCAGTGAAGTTCAAACGTTATCATTGAATGACAACTGTTTTTATGAATTCTATGTTTGTTCTTAGTTTTTTTTTTTTTTTTTTAAAGTTAAGGTTAAAAAACTGGCCGTATTCCAAAACTCAAACATCTGTAGATACAGGTTTCCTGTAGATACTTTTTTCAATGAAACTTTTGAACAAAGATAACAGAATTTGAAGGAATTGCAGGATCTGATTCACCAAACCTAATTTATGATCCAGGCAAAAGAAGAGGACATTTGAGATAGCAACTAGAAAACCCGAGCATTAGTCCCAGATTTTTACAATGGGAAATATCTCACTCACCTTACACCTTCTAGGGAGGATTAAAGAAGTGCAAGCTGAAACAGTAAAATATCTGGGTAAATACATTTAAAAGAGCAAAGTTAATGCACATATAATGCAAAGATTCATGATGCAAAGAATGCTACGGATGGAATTTAGCATCTGGAGAGAGATCGTCAAAAATAATCAAGCGTAAAAATGGCTCACACAAGGGAAAAATTGGAGCTCATCAATGGAATGCCAGCTTTAAAATAGTTTTACTGTCAATTAAAAAAAATTTTTTTTAAGTAGGCTCCATGCCTAAATTGGGTCTCAAACTCACCACTCTGATATCAAGAGTCACATGCTCTACAGACTGAGCCAGCCAGGCGCCCCTTTACTGTCAGTTGTTCATGAAATTACTTATACATATACACATAAATGGAAAAGGTCCTCTTCGGCATCTAGTTTGATATTGCCTACTGCAGCAGTTCTCTAGTATCCCTGCCTGATACTCCGGTGTTTAACATTTGAGGATTTCTGGCGATGGGGAGTTCAACACTCACAATATTAAGCACTAGCTTTTACCCAGCTCCAGGGGAATCAATGTCCCTGAACTCTACTCCAAGATGACTCAAACAGTCGTGAACCCTTCATTGTATGGACTCAACAATGAAATAAAACACATTTTAACTTTCAGATGCTTCTTTGGCAGTGCAAATACGGCACTTAGGATCTGGCTCTTTCCAGGCTCACCTTAAGTAATAAACTAAATCACCGATACTCCAGCCAGCCCATTTAACTGGTCAAACTCTTCCACGGTTTTCAGACTCCATTAAGCCTCTCCTTTCCGTATTGGTTTACAAGCCCCGCCTGGGGTGAAGCCTTCATTTCCCTTCCGCCTCTGCTGCTTAATTAGGCACTTCACGATCAAACGCAGAACTTCTTGAACACCTGCACTTCAGCACTTCAGGCTCTAAGTATGATCATACAGGCTGGGAGAATCTACCCAATGAATGAAAGGCCACTTTGGCAGCAAACAGCTGAAAGGCTATTTCTGAGTTTGCGACAGCCGGAACCGCACTTAGCGACTCTCCCCTAGCTCTCCCCGGGGGCCTCCAAGACGCGCTGCGACTGAGGGATGGGCGGGGCCTGCCGCGACCCTCGCGGCCTCCGCCCACCCGCGGGCCTCCTGGTTTCCCAGCAAGCTCTAGGACAGAGGAGGTGGGGAAAGGAGGTCATCGCGCCTGCGTGCTAGGAGGTGTGACCCGGGTGGGAAAGCCCTCCGCGTCCGCCATTTTGGCTGCCTCTGTCGGTCTGTTCAGTTACCACGTGAACCGCCGACGGAGACCCGTGGGGGGGGAGGCGGCGGCAGCGTTACGTGAGAAAGGAAAAAAGACAACGAGGGGAAGGGGGTGTCGGGGTTGGGCGACGCGGTGACACTCGAGGCTTGGTGGCGGCGGTGGATCGGGGCAATCAAGGCTGAAGCAGCCAGGGGACGGCGGCGGCGGCGGCGGCGGTCGGACAAACAGACTGACCGAGCCGGGCGGTGGCGGGAGCAGCGGGAGGAGCCGGAACGATGCCGGCCGTGAGCCTCCCGCCCAAGGAGAACGCTCTCTTCAAGCGGATCTTGGTAAGTGTGAGACTCTGGGCAAGCAGTGGGGAGGATTTAGCCGGTACACGGGCCTGTCACCCCTAACCTCGGCCCGGCGGGCACCGGGCCACCTCCGCCAGGAACCCCGCCTTCATACTCCTAGTCAAGCCGAATGCACCCCTTCGTCCCCTCCCTATGGTTCCCACATCACCCCGCGCGCCCCGGGCCACGGGCTTCCTCCTCCTGTCTCCACGCTTCGGAGGCCGTGGTTCCGGAGTAGGCCCCGTTTTCCTAGCTTCTAGACTGCGGGTTTTCATCCGCCCCGAGTGGAGAGGACAGGCCCGGCCTTTTAGCAGGGAAGCTTGCAACACGGGCAGGAGTCGCGGCCGGGGTGGTGCGGTAACACTGCCGGCAGGTCGGGGTGGCACCCTTGGAAGGAACAGGTGGTGCGGATGCGGCACAGCTCATTCATTGCCCAAGCGCGGCTCTCCCTCCTTCGTCCGTCCCTCCCTCTTCCTCTCTTGATATTCACCTGTCCCCGCCCGGCCCGGGGTCACTGAATGACTTGGAAGGAGGGAAGGAAGGGGTTCAGAAGAGGAAAGGAAGCTTACTAAACGACTACCTCCTTGTAGTTAGTTTCATACTCGAGTCTGCAGATTCTCGGCCTCTCTTTTTCCTTCGTTTCTGGATGGAGTAGGGAAAAAGACATTTATTTCTTAGTTTCCGAGCGGGAAACAGCCCCACCCCATACCCTACTCGGGAGGTGGGGCCCACTGCGAGGGGGCGGTCCGGTTGGAAGTGAAAAGTTACAGAGTTTCTGGTTAAGACGTTCTACACACGGATTTTCTCAGAGACTGAAGCGTATTATCTCTGATGCAAAAATTTAGCAGCAAAGACAACTTAAGAACTTTTGAGATGGATCTTATAGACGCTAGCTCAAACTCACTTATTTCCTACATTTCAAACGTGTGCAGTTTCCTTTTTTTTTTTAAAATACTATAAAATACAGTGATGTTTGGAGGGACAGTTTACGTTGTAAAATATATCTTGTGGCCCTGGCGCTATAATTAATACATCATGGCACATTTTTGTTTTGGCATTTAGTGTGTGGGTTGCCTCTTCATCCAAACATTTCTTTATGAAAGAATTAACTGTTTGCCAAACTTAAAACTTTTAAAATTTGGAGTGTGTGCATGAAAGTGTTAGCTGTTTTCCCTTGCAATTTTAATTTGCTTCACTTATTTGAAAAGTAGAACAATTTTGGGGATCCAGTCTTCTAGAAATAGGAAAGAGTAATCCATGTTGAACTAACGTTGATTTTACAAAAATATCCATATGCCTTACAGATTTAGTCAATTTATGTTGAAAAACTTATCGGAAAGGCACATCCAATACCACGTGAGTCTTTACCTTTGAAATCCTTATTGCCGTTTTGTTTTAAGAATAACGAGTATAGATAGGACTGTCACGTGGTTTTTTTAAAAAATAGAACGATTTATTTGCTTTTAAATCTTTTATTTATTTATTTTAAAAGATTTTATTTACTTATCTGACACAGAAAAAGAGAGGGCGAGCGCGCGCACAATCGGGGGAGTGGGAAGCAGAGGGAGCGGGAGAAGCAGGTTCCCGCTGGGCAAGGACCCGGGGGCGGGGCTGGATCCCAAGACCCCAGGATCATGACCTGAGCTGAAGGCAGGCGCCCAACTGACTGAGCCACCCAGGCACTCCTACTTTTAAATCTTTTGAAAGACTAACTGGTGTGTAAGTTCAACTGAAACATAGTTTTAGGACAAAAATGTGTCTTAAATCTTACTCCTTAACTTTTTTTGAAAAAAATTCAAGTAGAAAAGTTGATAGAAGAGTACAAGGAGCACTCATAAACCCTTTACCTTAATTTAGTATGTTAACATTTTGCCAGATTTGCTTTCTCTCTTTTCCCATACACAGAAGAGTAAGTTGCAGACATAATATTTCATCCATAAATGCACCAGCAAGCATTTCCTGAGAATAAGGATATTGTCCTGTATAGCTATAATACTGTTAACAGTCATTCCCTAATACTGTGGAATATCCAGTTCATATTGAAATTATCCCGATTGTTAGGGTCGCAGTTTTTAAAAAATCAAACTTTTTATTTTGAGATAACTGTAGATTCCCATGTAGTTTTAAGGAATAATACAGAGATCCCTTGTACCCTTTACCCAGTTTCCCAGGGCTAACACCTTGCAAAACTGTAGTTCAGTATCATAACATTGATACCCTTTATCAATCTTATTCATATTTCTCCAGTTTACTTGCACTAATTTGTGTGTGTATTTAGTTCTGTGCAGTGTTATCGCAATTGTAATTACATAACCCCCACTACAGTCAGTATGCAGAATGGTTCCATCAGCACAAGGATCCTTCTGTTGCCTTTTACAACCACACCCTCCCACCTGCTTTCCATCTCCTCTACCCCCAAACTCTGGCAGCCACTACTGTTCTGTTTTCTATTTCTATAATTTTGTCATTCCATGAATGTTTACTGAAAAGAATCATACAGCATATAACTTCTTAGGATTGTCTTGTTTTAATGCAATATAATTTCCTTGAGATTCATCCAAGTTGTTGGGTATCAATACTAGTTTGTTCCTTTTTATTGTTGAGTAGAATTCTGTGATAGGGATGTACCACAGTTTAACCATTCATAGAGTAACGTTTTTTGATTAATCATTTTACACATTTTTTTTTCCTGGTTGTGATAGTGGGGCAGAACCTTTACGTTCATTGCTAAAATTGAAGTGCTAAAGGGTTTATTGTGATAGGGTATATGCAGAAAAAATGTGAAAATTACTAAAGAGAAGGGGATAGCATGTTCTTGTTGTCCTATTACATTAGGAATGAAGAAAACTGCGCTAACCAAAAGTATAGTTAGTATTTGCTTTTTAAAAATTCCTTCTGCTTCCTCAGTTTTTATGGTATGTTAGCTGTCTTGATTTTAAGCCCCCCAACGAAAAGTTGGGCATACTTTAATGCCTGTAACCAAGTGTTGCTGGGTTGGTACTGTTAAATCATTCCAGGAGTATTCACTTTTTGAGCTGCTACTTTGTTAGTTGTACAATACTTGTTTGTAGTAAATTCCTTTAGGAAATGAAGTTAGTTTGTATTTTTAAAATATTTGAAACCTCAATTTCAAAGTAATGAAATATGTTTTTGCCTTTATTTTTCAGAGGAAACCCAGAAAGTTTCTGTAGTGGATTTGCCTGGCTTGTTCTAGTTTAGTTGATATCTAAAATTCAGTTTTGGGGTTGCCTGGGTGGCTCAGTCAGTTAGGCATCTGCCCTTCAGCTCAGGTCATGATCCCAGGGTCCTGGGATTGAGCCCCGCATCAGGCTCCTTGCTTGGCAGGGAGCCTGCTTCTCCCTCTCCCACTCCCCCCTGCTTGTGTTCCCTCTCTCGCTGTGTCTCTCTCAAATAAATAAATAAAATCTTTAAAAAAAATAATAAAATTCAGTTTTGTTGCATATTGGGCCCTTTTTTCATATATTACTTAACTGTTTTCTGATTAAAGAACTGTTTTAAGTTGGTCAAAATGTCTACAGGATGTTTCTTGTCTATAATTTGTCTAGAGAAAGGGCAGGGGATGAATTTAATGTAACATATATTATGTAGGAGTTTAGTTTAAAGAAGAGTTATGTGTGTTTACCAGAAGTGGGTTTTTTTGCGGGATTTTTGTTGTAATTATACACTATTTTAACAGTTTGGAAAACTGGGTCATTAGAAAATTGTGCCTTTGCCTACTCTTGATGCTATTTGTTTATCGAAATAGTTTGAGGACATTACCAGATCTTTACACCACTTTTTTAGGATCTAGGTTAAGGTAGGAAAAATGAGTTGCTGGAGTGGAACGAAGTTCACACCTTTTTAGATTTTAGCCCACTTGGACAAGTTGGAGAGCCCCTCCTGCGCTGCAGTTAAGTAGTGCCAGGGCGGTGACCGCCGCTGCTCCGCCCTGCTTCTCAGGTGGTAATGTGAGCTGTTGGGAGTGCTTAAAATATTTTACACCATTACTCTAGTTTTGGACTTTTGCCTGAATGATTTATGTTAAAAGTCTAGAGGACAGAATTTCTCTTTCCTAGAAAAGTGGTAAGAGAAGTTAGTATAGCATGATGATACTCTTTGTGACTTACTGAAAACTTACCATTTGTACTGCACAATAGAACTTTCTGCGATGAGGGAAATGCCCTGTATCTGCTCTGTCCAATATGATAGTTGTTAGTCACGTGTGACTGTTGTACACCTGAAGTATAGCTAGTGCAATTGAACTCAATTTTTAAATTAAGTTTAAATTCAAATAGCCACTTGTGGTGGTATGCAGTAGCCGTTTTGGACAGTGCCCCTTGTGGATCCTTCTTTATTCTTAAAACTTCCCAAGGTGGGGACATTTTTATTAAGGAAACAGACTGAGATTAAGGTTAACAGCTTAGTTTTAGATTCAAGAATCAGTTTTTTTGTTTGTTAGCTCAGGGCATTTATACCATACCTGCCTAGTGTTTAATCTCTTTGGTGGGGTTGGGGAGGTTGTAGGGAGAAGGAGTTAGGTAAAGGTGTTGTAGTAATTGTAGGTGGCTAGATGTATT